TAGCTCTGTCGCATAGGAATTTCTTTTCGTGCGCTCCAAGAGATGAAAAAAGGGAGAGATTATTGTCAACTATCTTTGTGATGTTTCGTTCGTGTTTTTATGCTAATAGGCAATTTCACTATGTTTGAAAATAGCCCTTCTTATATGGCGAACGGTCTCATACATGACTCAGTATATGAAATAACACTTCCTCTCATCTATTGATTCCTTTACAACCGTTTAATCAATACTTCAAAAGTGCTACAAATTGAGAGAGTTCCAAACGACCATTTTTCGTGGTGTGACGTCACTTGTATTTTCTTGATGCTCCCTCTGACGACCCAAAGAGGATGCGTTGCACAAAACCACAGACACAGAACTCGAGCACAGAGTGGTTGGGTGATCTGTGACTTGAAAATGGCTACAAAACAAACTATAGAAGAAGAAATGCAATGAATAATCATGACAAGACCAAGTGACAAGAAGAATTACCTAATGAGAATGTCCGTCCGAAGTGTATGACGCGGTGTGACGCACCTTGTATTCGTCCAATGGAATGCCATCAATATTTCCCGCGCATTCGAGCTATCGTTTGAGTTTAGGTTCAATTTAATAATTATTTTCTGGGTCAACCGCAATCCTAAGAAGATTGGAAAAATGCTGAATTCACCCAGTATGTGTTCTAAAACGTGAAAAAAAATTCAAAAAATCATGGTGAAATTCCCTATTGCTCAGTTTTGAAAACCAATATCATGTGGTTGGATGAACAGATCGCGTGATAAAAATAATCGTGAGATAAAAATATGCCTTGCAGTTTTTCTAGTTTTCGTAGCGCCACTGTGTTCAACTGACTTTTACTCAAAGTTATGGGGTTGATCGTGAGGCGAGCGCTCAATAATGTGTGGGTCAGAGTCCCAACACTCCCAACTCCCAACTCTCCCAAGGGCAATCAACAGCTCCTGACGTTTACGACTTCTGACCAACTAACATTTCAGTGTCTGTATGTTTTTCAGTCCATTTCCGGCCATTGATATACTTCTAACTTCAGCAAACTGTAGCGTGAGTTTGGAAGTTGTATCGTTCGCTGGATATCCCAGAATATTTTGAAATATGTTCAAATTTATGTTGAGCCAACCTGACAACCAGTGTTTCAAAAGTTCGTGACCCCACTAAATTTAAGCAGGTCTAAACTAGATATGAATATGGAAAATGATAATTGGAACTTGAAATCATCACACTGATTCACCTGGAGAAGTGAACCAAGTTTCAGTTTCTGTGATACAGGGGCTTGAGAAATTGAGGTATTAGGTACAGCAGCAAAATCTGTTTTGAAAGTGCATTCATGAACAACTACTGAACTACTAACCTTCAAACTCATCAGTCAAAAAAACTAAGTACTGATTCTTTTATGATTGGGCAGTTGAAAAATACCGTGTCTCTATACACCTTGAAACTATCCTACTATGGACTTGTTCAATCAATATTGAATTAATGCCTGATGTTCTGGGGACATTCAAGCCACATTCATAAATTATTTATTATCCAAAAGAAAATTATTAGAGTCCTGGTAGGCGCATGTCCTCGAGACCCCTCCAAACCTATCTTCAAACGTTTACAAATATTACCTCTCCCGTGTCTGTATATGTATATGTTCATAAACATAGAGCTGACCTATTGAGCCGACATCCTCGCCAAACAGGGAACCGAATCTGTGTTCATAGGACCAGAACCATATTTTGGGGTCACCGCAAGTGCGGCGAAAACAACTATCTCGGGCTGGGCGGAGGGAAAAACACTCACGTACTGGTCTGAATTACCAGGATTAACCCATTCGAAGGCGTTCCTGCCTAAACCATCGGAAAATATAACCAGGCAGATCCTAGAATGGAGCAGGGGTAACCTGCGAATTCTGACTGGACTGCTTACGGGACACTGTCGTCTAAGATACCACCTGGGAAGGATGGGTCTGAACGAACAAACGGACTGTCGGTTCTGTTGTGTGGAAGACGAAACGGCTGAACACATATTATGTTCATTCTCTAGCTTAGAAAGACTAAGGTTCGACACATTTGGCTTTACCAATTTAGAACCTATCGATTTCAGACAAATCTCACTCAATTCAACCATGAACTTTGTAAAAAGATGTGGATTGTACGGTGAACTGTAACCTCTAGGGGTGAGCCACAATAGACCCATCTGGGGTCGCAGTGGAGGGGAGGTATTCGCCCCACTCACATGGAACCTAACCTAACCTAACCTATTGAGGCATGACTCGATTCATGGTTACAAAACAAGAAATGCAGAGAATATATATCCTCCATTTTCAAGATTGGCCGTAGGACAAAATTCGCATATTTATCAAGGAATCAAATTCTACAACAAATTCAACACCTTATTCTGCAACAAATCTATCACATGTATTGATCACTCTTTCAAGAACCTGGTATCTAGTCACAATGTTTACTTCAATGTTAGTTTTATAATATGTCAATTTCGATACAAATATATAATTTCTTATTTTTTAAACTGTAGGTATAATACTACGTTTTAATTTGTATATGCGTAATGTATTTGTTTTAATGGTCTAATGTCATATCCATAAATTCTCACAACTCTGCGACTAGCCTGATAGTGTATGCCTGTGTGATATAATCATATTATTATTGTACTCGTATACTTCTTATAGGTGAATAAAGCTATTCTATTCTATTCTAAGGGATCTGCTATGATATTGACTCTTTCTTTAAAATCAAAGTGTGCATTTCCATACATTTTACTAAAAACTAAAGAAACAGCATTCGAATCTTGCCTTCAATCTTCCATCCTGATACCAATGAGCATCGCACTAGACAATGTGATCATTTTAAAACTGCCAAAATATAATCCAATCATCAATATTCTTATGGAAAGAATCTTTCTAACAGTCTACCCAACAGAATAGCACAACCAAATATATTGAATAAAATATGTATTTCTTAAGCACCATTTCATGACTAGTATTTTCTTAACATTTCCTGTCTATGCATTTCCGATAAAAATAACAGTATTCGTGAAGGGAAAACCCACGTGAATTTCTGAGGGAAATGTTTATCTTCGCTAGACGCTAGACTAACACGCTCTATGAATACTTTATTAATTTTTCACCTGGAGTAAGAAATGAAATGTTCTCTTCGGAGTTTCCGTACATCCCAGAATAATGGATTAGGTTTGGAGAGAAATAGAAAGGAGCAAAACATCCAGATGAATATCGAAGAGCATGCATCACGAGTCTGACATGAATAGATAGATAGATATATGTTTCTCCACCACTAGCTATAAAATATACCAGTATTTACTCCTTTTCGAGGCGTGAAGTGTTTTTTTACTACCAAGGTAGTTTTCGGTATTTCATGAACCACTACACCTTTTCCAGATGTATTTCAGAAAGCGTCAATTGTATTTCAGAATAGTCAATTCAATTTCATATGCTCATATTCCAGTTTCACAGAACTAAAATGATTGGTATTGATGTATTGCTAGTGGGGAAAGAAATTTAATATACACCTTGGTAGTTGGTAGTAATAGTTTATTTATGTATTAAGGGAATTATGAGGGCCTTAATTACCGATGGCAAAGTTTGCGTCCCGAGGGCCTCTGGCCCGAGGGACAGCAATTGCCAGAGGTTATTAAGGCTCTATAATTCCCTTGGTACATAGATAATTTTATTTCTGACCGATTTTCATAACAAACTGTCCATATTTAGAACGCAATAAATGTTTAAATTCATAACCTTCCTGGTATATTTGAATTAGGTAGCGTTGATTGTAGCATTGTTGGTTGTTGCTAGGTTTTGTCGCTATGTTACATGTTTATTTTTTTTTTTAAGCGGCGGAAGTAATTTTCAGCATAGATTTCAGGGAACATTTGAAAATTGTACATTTATTATTTGTAATGACGTGAATAAGGAAAATATGTCTTAGTTTTCATCACATATAAACGTTTATAAGCATTTCTTGTATCATTTTCACCTGTAAAAGGTAAGAGGGAGTTTTTGAACCTTAATATACCAAGGGAGTTATGACCCTCATTATAGATATCGTAACTATGACGATATAAGCTTATAATGTCACTGTCAGAAATAATGAATATTATTACCATGGGACCTTATTCCCCTCGTATGAAACCTTGGTATATAATATTGATCCCTGGGTATACTGATATTCTTTACGATACCTTGGTGTATTAATAACTATTATTCACCAATGTGGAACATTTTGTCTATATCAAATAGTTATTTATTATACAAGGAAAAAAAGTAGTAGATTATATCAGCTCGAGGTTGTGTTGTTAAAGTTTATTTGTATCTGGGGGTTTTCGAGATCGGAAATTATGATTTTTTCGTCAAATTTCGAAAATTTAAGATGGCGGATCCAATATGGCGGATGAGATTTTCAATTATGATCCGATTCTACTCAAAATTTGTATTTGGGAGTTGTCGGGGTTGGAGAATATGTTTATTTCGTCAAAATTGGGAAATTAAAGATAGGGGATCCAATATGGTGAAGGAATTTTGTTATTATATGATCCGAATCGATCCAAAGCTGGTATCTGGGGGTTAACGAGGTCCGAGATTATGATTCTTTCTTGAAAATTGGGTACTTACAAAAATATAACAATACTAAAAAACACGCTTTTATAGTTAGCCGAACTAAAAACTAGAAAATCAATAGTAGTTTGAGAAAGTGAAGAAACCCCGTTTTATAGATAAGCAGTAGAAAATAGAATAATGAAAGTGTGTTGATAAATATATTACATTCTGGTTACCGAGATGCTAATATATTCTATGTTGTGTATTTATCAGCATATACTTTTATTACTTGGTTTGCTAATTCTTTTCAGTTTGGTTATCTATAAAAGGAAGTTTCTTTGGTTTTTTGAAATACTATTCATTTTAAATGACTTTCAATGCTTTGTATAGAAAAGTAAGTCAAAAGGGCGAATCTAGTAGAGTATATACATATTATTTGATCTTGAGAACTCACCGACATAGGGTGTCGTAGTCTATTCCTTTGGTGGAGCGAGTGTCCACCAAAACTAGGTCGTGCGATTTCAGCTGGTACTCCTCCAGAGCCGTTATGTCGGAGTTGCATGTGGTGATTTCGAAGCTCAGTTTTTCGGCAGCCTTTTGAAACGTCTCTGCGACTTGGTCCGGGCCCGAAAAAACTGTGAGTACCTGGATTGGAGCACAATCGAAAAATATAAGGGCTGATTCGTGTTTTATGAACATCATTTTTTCTTCAGTTGTTTCTCATTTTTGTTTCCACGCTTATCATCTATAATACAACAGGTGTAATCATGATTATCGAAATTCAAATCCCTTCGATCTTGAGAAACAAATTATGTTGTTTGGCAACCACACGAGGGCAAAAGTATGGATTTTCGATAATTATCAATCAATCGAACAATAATTTTATGTCATATTTTCATTTGCAGTCGGTGCATTATGTAATAACGATACATCGATAGCAACTAGAGACAGGACGAACCAAATATCGTCACGCGTCTCGTCAGAGGCCGGACATTTTCTGTATTAGTTGCTTCCTCACAGCTCGCTCGCAATATTTGATGCGTCCTGTTTCTAGACACTAGTCGCTAGTGTCAAGAAGTACTGTGAATAGAGGTCAAGTCACAGTTAGCGATGGCACTCGACTCGGACTCAAGAGGTTGATATAACTAATGTTTCTTTGAAATGCGATCTTACAAAATTGGACTAAAACTCTTCGATATAAATCAAAATTCCGTGCCTATGGCGATGTTGTCTGAAGTTTAGTGTTGAGTGCTACTTATCCCTGAATATGAAAATATTATGACATTCATGTCCAGCTAGCTGCATAGTGATTTTGTTCTATATTTTGATAAAACTACCAATGAGAAAGCGAAATACATAATCGAAAACAGCCAATCATTATACATCCGAAACACAAAAATGAAAACATCATGTTTTCGATTATCAACACAGATATTCCAACCAATCAAAAATGTGTATTCTGAAATGAGTAGGATTATCATCAGAATGCTCAGAATTGATTGATTTAGCAATTTCAGATATTTTTAGTATTTTTTGTTGTCGTTGTTGTCACCTTATATTATTTTATTATTGTGGTTTGTGATCAACTTCCTCATACCAGAATTTTATTTCTGACTGGAAGCACAATAAACAATAAAACAATAAACAATAATCTAAAAAAAAAAATTCTAAAATTTGTTCTAAAATTTGTTCTATCCGTCATTCGATTGCCCCCTTACGAGCAACCCTCAAAAGTCTTCGAAAGTCTTGTGCGAGCAAGGAATGACGGGGGCCTTACCTTTTAACGTGTGATCCCAAACACTTTCTTGGGCCATCAGAAAAATTTCTGCAGTCGACGGGGATCGAACCCACGACCGGCAAGCGAATGCGAATTAGAATATAGACACTCTGTCCGCACGGCTACCTGGCCACCCATAAACCAAACCACCCATAAACAATAATCAAATTCAATAATTTCTCCAAGACTATGAAAATCTTTGAGGAATTTTTGGAATGTGATTGGAGGTGAATTCTGAACATTCTAACGATAAGCGTGAAAACAAAAATGAGAAACAAGACAAGATGAAATGATATTCATAAAATCTTGTTCAATATTCGAGAAAAATTTCGAATGGAACAGGTAGGACTTTCTTATCCGCAGGAAGACAGATAAAGCAAACCTCAATGATTCCATTCAATATTCAATAATAGCATTCAACATAATATCATCAATCAATTCTTCCTCTTCGTTATATTTTGTGGTGTTAACATGAATTAATGTCTCAATTATAAAAGCACCTACATGATATATTCATCATTATCCAGAATGTTTGAAAATGCAATTTACCTCATTATACAAAAATGAAACTCACCTTCAAAGTTCTAGTTGGTGGTAATATTTGTCCGAATTTCACGTCATGTGGTGCCCTCTGTAACAATAAAATAGAATGTCACTGCTTGAACATAAATATAACATCATCATTTCAAGAAAAACAGGTTGTTTATCCCACTTGTCATTAGCATTATGAATTCGATGAATGCATGATAATTTATGTAGGAAGAAAAATTGTCTCATTAGAGATATGGGTGATTTTCACATATTCATATTATCGGCATTATACAGGGTGGGACACTGGTCGATGATGCCTTAGACGTTTACGGATAACAAGATATAGGATCATTCTGAAAATTCGGTTACTCAAGTAGTTGCTCTTGGTCTATAGCTCTAAAATATTTTCAGAAATGCAGCGTTTCCGCCTATACCAGAAAGTAGTAGCAACTTTTATATTTCAAATGGAACACCCTATATTTTATTGCATTTTTAGATTTTCCCTGAAGAGCTGATTTCATAAATATATCAGACTGGAAGTCTAGCGGTAATGATTATAGAGATATAGTGTGTTCAAAATCGAAATCTTTTCAGCTTTAGGGTTTTTTGTGTCGAAACTATTCATTATCGGACAGATACAGGGTGCTTCTAGATTCGGAATTCTGATACCCTGTATCTATTCCAAATAAACGTCAGTAGACACTATATCAAGAGTTGAGATATGGGACATAGAAGCCGTTTTGACACACAAAAAATTACTAAAATAGAAAAAAACTCGATTTTGAACATCCTATATATCTGTAATCATTCATCATTGATGAACACAGCTCTTCAGGGAGATCTAAAAATGCAATAAAATACAGGGTATATTCGAAATAACAAAGTTGTTGCTATACTTTTCGAAAATATTTTAGATCGATAGACCAAGAGCAACTACCAAATTTTCAAAATTATCCTTTGTCCCGTTCTCCACAAACGTCTTATAGATACTATCGACTGTGACCCGCCCTGTATACATTTTATTTGTAATATGAGTTTCATAATGAAAATTATGTATTCTAACTAGAAACGTAAATTCAAGGTTTTATAGGACTACCATACGCACACATTATACAGGGTGATGTACGTGAGGTTGCGAAGAAATGTAGAAATAAACTATTGCGAATTCAAACAATATTGTTCAATTTTGTATACTCAACACACACACACTGCATGAATTTCATTCATTCAATAATATGCATGTATTTGTTACTGTGGAAGACCGAAATCCGGTGAATGTCGAGATATACCGGTGAATGTCAACATTCACCAAGTTACTTGGCCGATATATTGATAAAATATAATTATTTCTAACTTACACCGGCGAATGTCAATATTCATCACGCAATTATGGTATATGTTCAAAAGACACCGTTTTTTTTTAAACAAAACGAACGTGTTGAACTTGAAACAAACAGCAAAGATACTTTCAATATACCAAATAAAATATATTTAATTTTTCAAACTGAATTTGAAAAACACGATACCTCTTGAGCTGAAATCTGATCCATTAAAATTCAACGTTTCTTTAGAAATTTCGAATTGGGTTCCAGGTAAAAAGTTGCTTCACTATATAAACTTAAAATATGTTGTTTTATTCAATTTGTTTTATATAAATTGAAAATTTCGAATTTAAATTTCAATGAAATCAATTCATTACATAATCATGGAACAAGACAATCAAATTTACTAATAGCAAATACGTTCAAGTCAAATATCGGCAAACAATCAATTTTTCACACAGGAATCGTTCTATACAACTCATTACCAAGTCAATTGAGGAATATACAGGAAGCAACTAGATTCAAAATTAACTTAAAAAAATATCTGCTTCAGAGACTTTGATAATTCCATTTCCAATTTGAATACCTACTTATAAAAGACTAGGTTGATATTGCATGATTATTTGCATTTTTTTTTATTACTTGTTATAGGTATCTTATTATAATTTCATAATTGTATATAACACTATGTATATTGTTTATGTATCCCTATTATAAACAACTATGTTTCTTGGGGTAATAAAGACAATCAAATTTATAAGTCTGAATCATCTATTTCAACAATAGTGGCTAACACATTTCGGGAATCTGTACCACTACGGTCAACGTCAGGGACTTTAATTCTTACGGTATTACCAATTTGTGCCACAGGAAATTTTTTTTAAGGTTCGCAACATTTTCGTTGCTTGGAGTTGAAGATTCTCTTTTGCGGTTATCTGGTCTCGGTCAATATTTGAGATGAAGACGTAAAGAGTTGCAGATCGGATTCCAGTGCCTTCTAGGTCTATGAGTTCTGTGGAATCGAAGAAATCGCATCAGTCATAACCTCATTTCCGACATCGACCATACACACCGTGAAGGTCCGAGTTTATAATAAAACTAATTAATGTTCGGAATTTGACCAACGCATTTGGTGTCGGTCGACATCCACTAATTTTGGTATTTCATGGTAACATAATATTATGCATTAGATGTCATTACCATATTGCAACCTTCCTGAGACTTAAAACCTAATTTCAAAGAAGATTATAGCGCGATCTTTAGGCATCAGAGTCATTTAGGCCCATTAGGGAATCTTTGGATTCTTTGGAGCTTTCAGAAAGAATAATCATCACAAATTACGTCGGGCTGTTCCCAAATTGCACATACACCACTTTTTATCCTGTGTACAGGGTGTCCCTAAAATGTCTCTACATAAACCTACCACATATTGACTTAGTATAAATTTTCTTATATTCGGAACAAGAATTCAATGTCATTATATTATTGACGCATTATAAATTATAAAAGTTGGATGATAGAGAAACAGATAAACAAAATGACTCCGCGTCCATCAACACATTACCATTGCATTAAGTCACTTACAAGTTGACCCTGTATTATCTTTATAATACTTATAATGTGATAATGTTATTATAATGAATGTATCCACTATCAATTTTTTTAATGTTTACCTATGCACTGAAACTATACTGGTATTGTTGAAACTATGATAGTTATCGACTCTTTTTTTTTTGGTGAAACTTACACTTTTTTGGAAAATAGTTTTTATTACTCACGTATTTTCGTTGAGAAATACGAATTTCAAGAAAACAATGTCTTTGATAATTGAATGACCGTCAGCTGGTTAACATTGTTCACTAAACTTTAAAAAAACCGACATAAAAATATATTTCCATTTGCTCAATGGGTGTGACAGAGATAGAAGTTTCGATATTGCGCCGTCACACCCATTGATCCTAATATGGAAACTTCGATCGCAAATATCTTCGTAATTATTTGAAATAACCCGATCACAGCCGGTATCGTTGAATTCGTTATAATAATCTCTAAGCAATTACGGGAAAACCGGAAGATGAAAAAATAACTAAAATGTCAGAGAGTGCCCTCCAGGGAGCATATTCAATGATCCAAAATCCACAAATTAGCTAAAAAACATAGGAGAAAAATAGGGTATACCATGAGTCTGTATCACCCGGTATAAAGTCTAATTATGTAGGAGGAAAGGCGAGTAAATAGTAAATACGTATCCAAGACGGATCCAAAGAAGATGAAATATCGACTTTTTTCTTGAAATATCTCGATAAATGGTGGTTTGCTCACATTCCATTATGAAATTCGCGTTTTTCAGACAAAATCACGTGAGTAACAAAAAACATTTGGTAAAACTGCATTCAGCATGCGATGGTTTTTTTTTTCGAAAATTGTTTTTGGTACTTACGTATTTTTGTCTGTAAAACACGAAATTGATAATGAAAATGTGAACAAACCATTATTTAATGAGATATAAAGTTACAAATTTCACCTTCTTTTCCGTCTGTGTTCTGGATTGCATTTAGAACGATTTGCCTTTCTTTTTTCATCATTGGACAATTTATATAAATCACAATGTAAGACACATTTTTTTCTATTATTGAGTCAACTAGAAATATGATTTTCTTGTGATTTATCCATATTTAGTGAAAAGAAGGAAGAATATCATTTGAAATAATGGCGTGTGTAATGTCATTCCAAAGCAATCTATTGACATTTGACATCTCGTATTTGGATTGCCTATGGATTAAATGGCCGTCATCTGGTATGCTTGCTCACTAAATAGGAAAAACTCGCCATAAAAATGATATTTCCTGTTGAATTTTCTATCTTCAAATGAGTCATTGAAGTACATCATGAGTATATAAAGTGTCCAATGACAAAATAAAAATAAGAGCAAATGCATCCAACACAAGGGGGAAAAGAAGGCAAAATTTCGAACTTTTTTTTGAAATATCTCGATAAATAGTGGTTTGTTCACATTTTTATTATCAAATTCGTATTTTTCAGATTAAAATACGTATAAGTACCAAAAAAAAATTTCAAAAAAAAATCATCGCATGATAAGTGCAAACTTACCACATTTTCGAAAAAAACTATCGCACAGAATGTGCAAAATCACCTTTTCTATAGTGAATGAGTTACGCAATTCACTTGCATATTATGTGGTAGGTTTTTGTAAACTCCTGTATATCCTATGAAAGATGACTTTCCTTCGGTATACAAATTACTATTTTTTTCTTCTTTCTCACTCGACGCCTCGCCTCCAATTTCTGTTCTAAGCGACTCGGTTCACCTGCATTTTCTTGTTCCGTCATAATGGAAAAGAGGATCTTAAATATCCTGGAAGTCGAGATCTGAAAATTTGTATTCACATTCACTGTCAACAGACATAATTACTTTCAGACTCACTGAATAATGAAAATGGGGTTTCAAGACTGAAAGTTCACGTGTTTTATTGATATTACATCACTTCATAATATTGTCATTAGGAACTTTCATGACACTTCACAGTCCAAAAATTTGATGACATTCAGGCTTTGTTTCCATGGGAACGTCTTATGTCGCTCTGTCCTGATTGACTATTTCAGCTACTCTATTTCAGCTGAGTTCATTCATTATGTGAAAATAGATGTATAGAAAGTCAAATGGTGTTTTCACTTTCTATTGAAAGGAGTTTCGAAATCTCTCGATATCGCCTACTTTGTAAAAATAGCGAGGCGTTAGAGAATCTTGCTAAATTTCT